ACTGTAAGCCTCCCAGAGTTACCCTGTGGTAAGATGGGCGGCCAGTAAATTGTATTAGTCAGTCAATCAATCAATCAATCAATCAATCAGTAAAATGGGTGGCCATTAAATTGAATGAATGAATGAACGAACGAACGTCAGGCCACAATAATATTTTAAATGGACCTTTGCTTTCTTGTCCTAGGCTACATTAATGATTAATAAATACATTTTTCTATTACATTATCCAATATACTGCATTTTTCAGATTGAAAATTCATTTTTTATTTTAGTGGTTTAATGATTATAACAATAATAATAATAATGATAAAGTTGGAAGGGACCTTGGAGGTTATTTAGTCCAACCCCCTGCTCAGGCAGGAAATCCTATACCATTTTGGACAAATGGCTGTCCAGTCTCTTCTTAAAAACCTCCAGTGTTGGAGCATTCACCGCTTCTGGAGGCAGGTTGTTCCACTGGTTATTGTTTTAACTATCAGGAAGTTTCTCCTTAGTTCTAGATTGCTTCTCTCTTTGGTTAGTTTCCACCCGTTGCTTCTTGTCCTGCCTTCAGGCGCTTTGGAGAATAGCTTGACTCCCTCTTCTTTGTGGCAGCCCTTCAGATATTGGAACACTGCTATCATGTCCCCCCTCGTCCTTCTCTTTGTTAAACTAGAGATGCCCAATTCCAGCAACCGTTCCTTATATGTTTTAGCCTCCAGTCCCCTAATCATCTTTGTTGCTCTTTTCTGTACTCTTTCTAGAGTCTCAACATCTTTTTTACATTGTGGTGACCAAAACTGGATGCAGTATTCCAAGTGTGGCCTTACCAAGGCATTGTAATCTGTATTGTAATCTGTATTATAATCTGTATTTATAAACCGTTAAATATATTCTGTATAGTCTTCTTTTCTACTGATTCTTCTGAATGCCAGTAGCATTATAGTGATGTGTTCTGTAAATAAATCTGTTTTAATTGTAGTTTGCATTAGGTTCCGCAAGGTTTCAAATAATAAAAGAAATAGTAATAATATTCTAAGGTAAATGGTATGAGGTCCAGATAAATGCTGTCAGGGTGGCTGGTTTTTAATTGGGTTACAAAAGAAGACAGATTAGAGTTCACTTTGTACTAAATTTGAACTTTCATATATGTTCATAGTTCGGTTTTACAACATTTAACAGGCAGAATAATTTCTCACTAGAGGGCACTACAATACATGGATTAATTTACAAGGGTTATAAATGTGTTTATATAAATAAAATACAAATAAATAATTGCACATACTTTAAAGTACTTTTTGTTAAGTATTATTTTAAAAAACTGGATTAAAAATTGGATTAAATTGTAGCAGTATTGACAAAATTACAACTGAACTTTTGAAAATGCCAGGCAAACATATCTCTGATAAGATGGAAATTATCCATTTGTAAAATGATTCAGATAGAAATAAATTGGATGGTAATATAATATTCTTGAAATGAAACTTTACATTTTAAGAATATGCTATCAGTACAAGTTTTGTGGCACTGCTGACAATAACCTTTTAACCATATATATTTGCCATTATGTATCTAGATCAATTACAATTTTATGTTTAGAACATAAATTTTATTTTTCTTTTGTCTCATTTTGTTTTCCTTTTTTATATCATTTATAAGGCTGTTTACTTTTATGTTAAAAATTGTAAACTGCTTTGATTGCATTGATTAAAAACAGAGATATGTGTATAGTAAATGAATAAGATTCAGACATCCATTCTTTACTTTAAAAGCCAACTGAAGATTTTGTTTTGAGTTTTCTGTTATGGAAAATTTTAGACGGGTTAGTGAGTTGCCATTGTTATTCCGCCAACAGTAATTTCAGTAGGAAGAAGTTTAATTGTTGCCACTAACAGCATCCAAACCCGACTACAGGCAATTCTTGTCTTATAACTGTCGATGGAGAAGGTGGTAGGGAAGGTTACAAGCTGCTGCCCCCTGCCAAGGCACTCATTCTCATGTCTGTAGGCTGGCTAAAAAAGCTCTTTCAGAGAGGAGCTGAACTCTTTCAATTCAGTGGGGAAAAAGAAAGATCCTGATTATTTGAGCTTTATTTCTGTATCAGGCTGAAGGAATTCCCTTCTGTGCACAGAACTGATATCCTCCATGGGAAACAGAGCTCAGATCCGTCATTTCTGCACCCTACTGACATGTTCTCTTACGCATGCAGGGTGGAGCTTAACTCTTTGGCAGTGGAGACATGGAGGTCAGATTCTGATGATTTGACCTCTGTTTTTGCACCCTGCCAAAGTAGAGCTGATATCCATGGGCAGGTAGCTCTTTTAGCCCCCAGAGATGCAGAGCCAAAATCCAAGCAGAGAACAGAGAGGCAGCCCAGTAAGGTAAGGACTATGGGATGCCTCAGACAGCTGGGGGAGACTCCTTTTTTCTCTCTCTCTCTCTCTTTCTCTCAGCGGTGCTTGGATTTCAGCAGGAAAGATTTTCAGCTCCTCTAAGTGGACCTCCCCAGAGTCTGCCCCACCTGCACTCCTTACCATCCACTTAACAATCCATGTATTTGTTTAATAACCGCAATCAGAAGGGCTTGGATTGGGCCATTGAGCAAAGCAGTTACATGTGCAGTCACGTGACAACTTACTTAACAACCACTTTGCTCAACAAACGAGATTCCAGGCCTAGTTGTGATTATAAGTCGAGAACTACCTGAATGAATACAAGGAGGAAAGAATCTATTATGCTACTACGATTCATATTTGTAAATCTGAAAATAATACTAACATTTGATCTGTCCTGCTAGTCTTTAATGGTATTTTACCCATTGTTGCTTTACCAGCTAAATATCTTCTATGTGATTTTCCATGAACTTTGCCTATACAAATAGTAATGTAACATTCTATGTAATTAGTTAAGTTTACATAGCAGGGTTCTAACAAATATCTATATGCTTAATCCATTATTAAACTGTACACATTTGAATAATCTTGTCAGAAGTTTTAAATAGTAAAAAAGAAACCTGTTCCAAGACATTGCATAGAAGAAATTAAATGGAAAGCTATTTTATTTTAGGGTAGACTTCTTTATACCTGGAGTTCCTGTTGTTGGTGGATTCTCAATATGTTCGAGTCCTGGTATGTTGGAAGAAGAGGGAATATTAGAACTTGCAGTAAAACGTACATCACACCCACCTGCTCACTGGATTCATACTCAGGTATCTATATAAAAGCTCCTAATAATTTTGTTTTTAGTGTTCTTTAAATTTATTTTTACATCTTGTTTTATATATAATTCAGCATTATTATTACTTTGAATTGTCTTATCCTTTTGCCTGTACCATAAGACATAAATTTAATGCTAGAGTACAGTTTAATGTGTATTAAATTATTTACAACACAATACAATACAATACAAATAAATAAAACAAAATAAAAGAGTTGGAAGGGACCTTGGAGGTCTTTTATTCCAACCCCCTGCTCAGGCAGCAAACCCAAGACCATTTCAAACAAATGGTTGTCCAATCTCTTCTTTAAAAACTTCCAGTGTTGGAGCATTCACAACTTCTGGAGGCGTTCCACTGGTTAATTGTTCTAACAGTCAGGAAATTTCTCCTTAGTTCTAGGTTGTTTCTCTCTTTGATTAGTTTCCATCCATTGCTTCTTGTCCTGCCTTAAGGTGCTTTGGAGAATAGCTTGACTCCCTCTTCTTTGTGGCAACCTCTGAAATATTGGAACACTGCTATTATGTCACCCCTTGTCTTTCTCTTCATTAAAATAGATATACCCAATTCCAGTAACTGTTCCTTATATGTTTTAGCCTCCAGTCCCCTAATCATCTTTGTTGCTCTTCTATGTACTCTTTCTAGAGTCTCAACATCTTTTTACATCGTGGTGACCAAAACTGGATGCAGTATTCCAAGTATGGCCTTACCAACGCATTATAAAGTAGTATTAACACTTCATGTGATCTTGACTCTATCTCTCTGTTAATGTAGCCTAGAACTATGTTGGCTTTTTTTGGCAGAGGACTCCAAGATCCCTCTCACAGTTACTACTATTGAGTGAGGTACCACTTATACTGTTTTTTCTTGCCTAAATGTAGAACCTTGCTTTTTTCACCATTACATTTCATTTTGTTAAATAGCACCCAATATTTAAGTTTGTCAAGATCCTTCTGTATCTTATGCCTATCTTTTGGAGTGTTGGCTATTCCTGCCAGCTTGGTATTGTCTGCAAATTTGATGAGTTCCCCATCTATCCCTCATCCATATCATTGATGAAGATGTTGAAGAATACTGGGCCTAAAACAGAACCTTGGGGTACCCACTGCACACTTCCCTCCATGTAGATGCAGTTTCATTGAGGACTACACATTGAGTGTGGTTGGTCAACCAATTACGAATCCATCTGGTGGTGATGCTGTCTAACCCACATTTTTCTATCTTATTAAGTAATAGGTCGTGGTCTACTTTATCAAATGCCTTACTGAAATCCAAGTAAATTATATCCACAGCTTTCCTCTGGTCCACTAATTTTGTCACTTGGTCAAAAAATGCAATAAGATTTGTCTGGCATGATCTGTTTTTGACAAACCTATGTTGGCTTTTGGTAATGACTTTGTTTGCCTCTAGGTGTTCACTGATTCATTGCTTGATTATCTTTTCCAGAATCTTCCCAGATATTGAGCAGGCTGATAGGTCTGTAGTTTCCTAGATCTATTTTTTCCTTTTTTTGAAGATGGAAACAAATCAGCTCTTTTCCAGTCCTCTGGTAGTTCCCCAGTACTCCAGGATCTTTGAAAGATATAGTTTGGTGGTTCTGAGATCACGCCAGTTCCTTCACAACATTGGGGTTTAATGTTCGTCAAAGATGAACAGGTGCTCACTTACCATTTTCGTGCCTATTTTAACTTGTTTTTCTGATCTGTTTTTTACAATGCTGTTTTTCATAGGTTGGACTATTTTTTCCCTTTGTGTAAAGATGGACGCAAAAAAAACCGAGTTAAGTAGTTCTGCTTTCTCCCTGTTGCTTGACACCTTTTTGCCATTTTCACTAATGGACCAATCGTTTCCTTGATTTTTTTCTTGTTTTTTACATGTTGAAAGAAGTTTTTGTTGTTGTTATTTTTAACTTTTGTCGCAAATCTTAGTTCATTTTGAGCCTTATCTTTCCTCCCTTCATCTTTGCAGGCTCGAGCTATCTGCTGATATGTTTCCTTAGCTATGTGTCCCTCTTTCCACTTTCTATACTTGTCCTTTTTGTCTTTTAATTTATCAGAGAGTTCTTTATGCAGCCATGCTGGTTTCTTTTGAGAGCTGTTATTTTTCTTCTTCATTAGTATTGTGCTAGACTTGTTAAATGCCATATCTGTCATCACACTTAAACATGAAATAATCTGTGTACAAAAGATAAAAAGCTGCTCTTTTCCTCGCTCTTCATAAAACTTTAAATCTGTATAAACGCAACATTTTAGCTAGCATAATCTGTGTTTAATTAATGTACATTGTTTTGGGTTGACTTGTTTTTCTTTCATACAAATATAAAATCTCTGCCAGTACATGGTCCACCTATACAAAAGTCTTCTCTTATTGAATTATATAAGTATAGTGGCAGGTGGAATATTTCAAAAAGCACAGTTAAATGGCAGAAATTAACTAATACAAAATTAGTCTCATTTCCATTCTAAAAATGAACAAATGTGAGGTAATACCAGAAGGAAGAAGATCTTTGAACCTAAACTTAATTTTTGTGATGTTGCTAAAACACAAAGCTGCCAGATAGTGGGCTCATTGACCAATACTCAAATAGCAAACATTATATCTGAAATACGAATGCAAGTGTTATCACATAAACTCCTATATATAACATCCTCTTTATCAGATATATTTAAAGACTTGGCCTGGGACTCATGAAAGTTTACATGAAATAAAATAGGTTTACTTTTTAGATGCCACCTTTTTGCTCTAGAAAAACTGCTGTCTACTGAAAACTAGTGGGCTGATGAATTGTTTATCTCTTTAAACATTTTCACTACCAAACTATGGCTTATAAAGGATAATTTGTAAAAGATAAGCGTTGTGGAGGGGACACCCCTTTATATGTGTTATGAACAATATGCTTTTCTTCTGTTTTTGTTGACTAATGGATCAGTGTAAAATCAATGCAATCTTATCATTTGAGCAATTCTCTCCCTTTCTCTGTCCCTCTTCATTTCCCAGGTTGCTCCTAATCCATCCATTACCATATACCATAAAAAGTAGTCCTACTGTTCTTAAATAGGTTACTGTCACACACCATTGGAATTTCAATAAAATAATTGACTTTGAAAGGTATTCTGAAAATGTATAGAACCAGTGTGGCTGTACCACACATTCTTAGACAAATCCTGGTGGGGATTTTCTATCACATCTCTGTTGTTCATTAGGGAACTCCAAAAATCTAACCTCATAATTATCTGCCTCAGGGGCATTTCCTAAGACTTTTCTTCCTGCTTTAATATTTTAAATTAAACTCGTAGTATCACAGTAATTAAAGCAGTTAAAAGCATTAGCTAATGCTAGAACTGCTAGCTATCATTAAGGGTTTTTTTATGTCAAGTGTCTGGATGCTCTCATATGGAGAAAATGTTTTGAGTTAAGTAAATCTGGCTTCTCCATTAACTTTGCTTGTCAGAAGGTCGCGAAATGTGATCACATGATCTTGGAACACAGCAATAAATATGAACCAGTTGCTAAGCATCTGAATTTTGATCACATGATCATGGGGATGTTGCAAAGGTCGTAACTGAAAAATGGTCATAAGTCATTTTTCTCAGTGCCATTGTAACTTTGGTCATTAAATGAACTGTTGTAAATTGAGGACTACTTGTACTGAAGCAATTTATTGAGTTTTTATTGTTTTATGGTTTTTATTGTTTTTGATATTTTAATTTTTAAAAATGATCTGAAACTGTAATGATAGTATAGTGCTAAATTGGATTGGATTTTGAAACTGTTAAGAAGTTAACATTAATTCTATAATATAGTGCAGCTTTTTTCTTAAGATGGTCAGGAAATATAGGGATAGATAAATATAGGAATATATTTGACTTGGGGGAAAATAATGGTGATAAACTATTTTTACTATATACATTTGTTTTATAGCTATTATAATTTTGATGAGCACATAGACATGATTCTGCAGCTTATGGAAAAATATATCTTGGATTCTAACTATCATGAGCAGAGTGTTTCTAGGGCTAGCTTATTCCTCTTTTTTTTAAGCCTGCAATTTCAGTACTGGCATCCACTCAAAAAGGACAATTGTTAGAATGGTTAGATTAATGACAAAGGGGAAGATACCATACTGGAATTCGGATTTATCTTTGTATCAGAGGAAGTGCTTTAAGGGGACTCACTAGGTCTTAGTCAAATCACTGGAGTGTTTTATTTCAAATTTCCAACAGCCTGACTACTTTAGAAATACTTTTAAATTATCCTTCAGTAATAAAATCATTTCAGTTCTCATATGTAATACATTTGTGAGTTTTGTTTAGTCACTGTTTGTCTTTTGTGGATAAAATATATACTGTGTGTGTGTGTGTGTGTGTGTTTATACACGTACAGATAAATACACATTCATACATCTACATGCATAAAATATATGTGTGCACATATGTATGTATACATTGGTATATACCAGGGGTAGGCAACCTTGGCTCTTTTATGACTCGTGGACTTCAATTCCCAGAATTCCTGAGCCAGCCATGCTGAGGGGAAAGGGAGAGTTTCCAAGCTGAGTCATGCTGGCTCAGGAATTCTGGGAGTTGAAGTCCACGAGTCATAAAAGCCAAGGTTGCCTACCCCTGGTATATACATATGCATACAAAACATAAAAAAATGTGAGGCATCCAACAATCCTCATTTGGTACAGAATCTCCTTCATTGGTAGAACCAAGGTAGGCAGTTCCCTCTCCTTCTTGAGTCCAACATGTGTCCTGAAGTGCTGAGAGATGGAGAAGAAAACACACTTTCTCTCGCATTACATTGGATTCTTCCCCAGTCTGGTGTCTGCTCAAATGGGTTGGAACTGAATTCTTTATTAACACTGGAGGATGGCTGATAGAGTAAAACTGGATTATACCTTATTACCTATTATCTATTTTAGTTTAATATTGTTTTTAAATATTTTCTTCAGAATTGTGATTTATCTGGAAAATTTATGTATCTTTGTGATTGCTAACTGTATTGCATACTGTGTAACCATAATAACTGCCTCAATCTGTGTATATTGTTGTAAAATAAACACTAAACTAGAATTCTAACTTAAATTCCCAAGATCTTTTGAGAAGATGCCGTTCTATGAGATAAGCTTAAAGCAAACTTGGTTTGCTTTAAACCTATCTCATAGTATCGAAGAATGAAACCATATGTTATTATTACTCAAATCAGCTAAGTAACATTCTTATGATTGAAGAATGTGTGGATTGCACTAATTTGACTTATTTGCAGTAAGCTATGTAACACTACTAACATGGATTTTCAGTTAAAAGAATTTCCTGTCTGATTTTATTTGAAGTCCATCTTTGATATTGTTGTTTTTTTGCCTTTTTTTGTTCTTCCCTGTAGTGTACTCTTAATTCAGAAGTGGCTTTGCGAGTTGGAGGCAACTTCTTTTATGATCCTCAGCCTGAAGACCTTCCAGCAAACATTGTGCTCATAGCAGGTGGAGTAGGCATTAATCCTTTATTTTCTATACTGCTCCACATCGCAGACCTTCACAGAACTCAAGAGAAGAAAGGAAATAGTTGCGAAGTGGGAATAACCAAACTCTTTTATTGTGCAAAAAATGTACATGAACTTCTGTTCAGGGTAGGTTTTGTTATATATTATTTCATTATTTGATTTAATAGTTACAAGACACACTTAACCTTTTTTTATTTGAGAAGTCAGGAGCTGCAGTGGGTAGGAGGTTGATGCAAAGTAGGTGGGGCTATGTCATAAACGTAGGAAGGAAAAGATTTTTCTATTTTGGTAAGCAGGTGGACTTTTTTAAAGCTAATTTAAGGCTTAAACACTTATAGGTTTTCAAACTTTGTGCTCCTCCCCCAACTAAAACTAATAATCATATTAGGCAAGAAGCAACTATAATCATTTATTTTTAATATATTATTAAACTTTGTGGTACTTCAGCTGCTTCAGGTAAAATGAGGAGCATTTTACTTGGCCTTTACAAGTTTGATCAGGTTTTTGAAAAATGCAACTTTGCTTCCTCAAGAGATCCCAAAATATTTTGATTAACGCTCTTTATTTTATATATTTCTTATCTTTCCTGCTTCAAAATAACTGTTGTGATCAGAGGGAGCATTGGGAATTACAAAATAGGGGGTTCAGGCCTACAAGATGTCTGGGATATCAAGTTGCTCACTCTATTGTTTCTATTGTATATCAGACTTGCTCCAGTTGTTGAAGCAGCTTGGTAAAACTGAGCATTATGCAATAGTAGGTAAGGGGAAGAATGTCAATAGCATGTGTTGTATTTTCTATTGCTTGACCTAATCTGAGCAGCAGTAGCATAATCTTTTCATTCCCAAATCAAACTAGCAACATTTGCAGGAGGCCTCTGATGTCCAGCCCAGTCAAGATACTGTCAGCTGGAAGTGCTGCTGTTCTGACAATCATTTAGTGACTTTTGGAAACAGTATACAGGGGTTTGAAAAGACACTTGTTTTCTTCTGAACTTAAAAGGAGTATGTTCCTTCTATTTCTTTTGCTGAACCCACAGTTGAAAGTATATTTTGTGTAAGAAGAAGAAACCTGCACAGGGTTAGATTATTTCTTGAAAATTTATTTATATATCTGAACTCCACTATAAGGAATTGTTGCCTGAATTTGAAATAATATATTAATGTAAGAAAAGGGGGAATTATTTATACTGCCTTTTTCTTAAAATGTGTGCTCAAAGTACAGTATTCTTATACTGTTCTTTAAATTTGTAGAATCTGGACCATACAGACAACACATCTGCTTTGATTTATTTGACTGTGGTATGACTAAATATCTTGCACATTCCAGAAACAGATTCTTGGCTTGACAAATGCATTTCCTGGAAAAATCACATGCAGTTTCCACATTACCAAGCAGAATTCACCAATTTGTGAGAAATTTCTGCCTTACATCAAAGGTGTGTATTTTTGTGATGCATTAAAAAAATTGTATGACAATTTATAGTTATAGTTATAGTTTTAATACTCTGAGGACCAAAGTAAATATACCATGCAGGTAGTTCTCACTTAATGACCCTAACTGAAACCAGCAACTTTGCCTCTAGGCCAGAGGTGTCAAACTGCCGGCCTGTAGGCTGGACGCTTCATGCGGAAGCTGTGTCCACCCCATTGCCAGCAATGGCAAAACTGTCCCGGTATGTTGCGCGACGTCACGTGACATTGTGAGTTTGACATGTCTGCTCTAGACCAAGTGGTCACTAAGTAGGAAACCACATGATTAACTCTCTAAAAATTTCTTCCTCTCTAATATTTCTACTCTGCCAGAGGGCAAAAAATAACAAAATAACAGTTGAAAGGGACCTTGGAGGTTGCCTAGTCCAACCCCTTGTTCAAGCAGAAAACCCCATACCATTTCAGACAAATGACTGTCCAGTCTCTTCTGAAAAACCTCCAGTGTTTGAGCAGCCACAACTTCTGGAGGCAAGTTGTTCCACCGATTAATGGTTGTACCTGTCAGGAAATTTCTTCTTAGTTCTAGGTTGCTTCTTTCCTTAATTACTTTCCATCCATTGCTAGTTGATCTACCTTCAGATGCTTTGGAGAATAGGCAGCCCCTTAGATATTGGAACACTACTACCATGTCACCCTCTAATCCAGAGGTGTTAAACTGCCGGCCCGCAGGCCGGACCTGTCATCTGGAAGCTGTGCCCACCCCATTGCCGGCAATGGCAAAACCGTCCCGATACGTTGCGCAACGTCACATGATGTCGCGAGTTTGACATGTCTGCTCTAATCCTTCTTTCATTATACTAGATACACCCAATTCCTGCAACCTTTCTTCTTATGTTTTAGCTTCCAGTCCCCTAATCATCTTTGTTGCTGTTCTCTGAACCTTTTTGTAGACTTTCAACATTTTTTTTAAACTGATAAACAAAACTCATATTTAAGTGATTGTCTACTAGGACTCCAATATTCCTCTTGCAGTTATTAAGTCAGATACCACCTATTCTATACCTGTGAATTTGGTTTTTCTTACCTAAATGCAGAACTATTAAATTTCATTTTGTTAAATAGGGCCCAATGTTCAAATTTGTCAAGATCTTCTGTATCTTGAGCCTATTTTCTGGAGTGTTGCCTATTCCTGCCATTTTGGTGTTAGCTGCAAATTTGATGAGTTCTCCATCTATTGCTGGTCTAAATCATTGATCATTTCTATTGGCAGTCTTTTTTTTTTCTTTTTCTTTTTTGCGTGACCCTTTCCCACTACTGGCATGATTGCATTGCTCTCAGTACAGAGAGAGGAAATAGTTTACTCTTTGAAATCTTTTCCTCTCCAATTTCCCCCCTCTACTAAAGGAAACATAGGCTATAGAAATCATTTGCTTTTTTTGGTCTTCCCTCTCAGAGTTGAGGGCCGGAACATAGAAAAAACAGGTCAGACACAGCACAACATGTAGGGCACGGTAAAGGTTGTAAATGGGCCATAAAGTTAATTTTTGTCAGCACTGTTGTCAACTTTAAACAGTCTGAACAAATGGTTGGAAAGTGAGGACTGTAAAATGAGGAGAGGAGGGATTCATTATGCAAGCTATGCATGTTTTTTGAAAAATGTGTCCTAGTATGGACAACAAAGCTCATTCCCAGATGGGCATTGGAGCAAGGATGGCATGTTTAAGAAAGTTAACAGTTTTCAAATGCAGTTAATATATTTTTGCTTGCTGTTGACTCTTACTAAGATATATGGATAGCCTTTACAGATATTTCTTTTAATGGTTTATTCAATTTCCTTGATACTAGCTTCATTAAAGAAAATGTTTATTGCAAATATTTAATTTGATGTTATATTATTAACAGCAATTAGAGTTTGGATAAAACATGAAGGACTATAAACACATTCTTGTAAACTTTCTATAGCAGCAGAAAAGGACCCACTAGCATCCTACTTTCTGTTTGTAAATTATTAAATATTAAGCAAGCATTGGAAAGGGATATATCCATGCATTTTGACATGGTTGAAGCACCTTTTGAAATGTTAAAGCATCAGCTTCCTCTGGAATTCTTGCATGGCTTCTCTAAAGAATCTCCCCGGTTGTTTTAAATGCATGCATATCCACCACTGCTTCATTAGTCGTCCTAGCAGAAGTGTGATCCATGTAAACTCATGCCTTCTGGAAGATCTGGCTGCTATAACAATTCAAGGAGAAAATGCTTATGCCAGCATGATTTATGAAGCTCCCATTTCAAAAAATTTGTATAGTTCTATTAAATGTCTTTATAAATGTTTTCTTAACTCTGTGTATTCTTTACTAGAAGGAAGATTATCTGGAAGTGACCTAGAAAAATGTATCTCCAAGAATACTTTGTGGTACGTTTGTGGACCACCTCCAATGATAGAAACTATCTCCAAGCTGCTTGAAAACCTTGGTGTGGTTCAGAGCAATATTTTCTTTGAAAAGTGGTGGTAGCACATCCAGCAGCTCTCCAGGCAAAATAAAAATGAAGATATAATATATGCATGTTTGCTGATGAACACTGAAAGTTTACACAAAGTAAACTTTTTTCCATTTGTGGAAATAAAATAATTCATAATGAAATTATAAAATGTATTTTTAACAACCGATTTGGAAAAACAAATAGGAAACATTTTAAATTTGTATATGTACTGAATAGTGACAATTTCTAAAAATAAAATATTTTCTTAAATATTTTATTAACTTTGGTATGTAATACGTAACTTTATAATTAAATATTATGTATGCAATATTTCATGGTATAGGGATAAGAGGAGAAGAATGACTTGAAATTTAAGCCGTTGTCTCATATGGGAAGGGCAAACTTAACATAAAAGGTTGGAATTCATCTGTCCATTTCCAGTCCACCTTGTATTTTCTATTGAAGGCTGTTTGAAAAGTAAAAGATGTTGCTTTTGAAGTTTCTTGTATTTTCAGGAAAGAGAACTTGCACAAGCTTATTAGCAGACAAAGTTCTGAATGTACATTTCAGTAATTAGATTGGATCTGAAATTAATTGTGCCGGGGTAGAACCACTAAAATCAATGAAATGAGCTGAGCAAATCATGAATAAATGAAATGCTATTGATTTCCAGTGGTTTACTCAAAACATGATGGAGTCTGGATCTAGTTTATTTCCATAATATTATCTATTTTATCAGTTCTCAAAGTTATGGAACTTTATTTGAAATAACATTAAAGTGTGCCCTGTTTCTGATCAAAAGCAGCATTCCACACACAGGAGCCAGTCTTGGAATTATTTATATTCTACTGCATCAAGATTCAAAAATCTTGATTCAAGATTCATTATAAACGTATGAAAGTCCTGTACTTACAGTAGGTAAAATAGATCTAAACAGTTTTATTTGGAAGAAAATCCTATTGATTTCAATATTTACTTTGAAATATTACAACTGGGTGTTTGGCCCTTTTCCCCATCTTTCTGAAAGCCACTTGGCTTGACTAGCATATATTCATGTAGTTCATCATGAAGGGCTGGTGTCTAAGGGTCTGCGGTGCTACTGTGTTAGCAGCAATTAGGAACTAATTATGTAAGAGATTTTGAGTTTACCAAAAGGTACTAAATAAACTAATACTGTGGTTTGGTGGTGTAAAGTTTAAACAAACTTAATTATGTTACTTTCCCTTAGTCTAGAATGCTATGTATAGTATTGTCTGTACTATAGGAATTGCAAGGAATTTAAGTGAGCCCAAATACAATAGAACAGGGGTCCCCCGGTCCGTGGACCAGTACTGGGCCACCGAATGCCAGCAACCAGTCCGCACAAAAAAGCAAAGCCCAATCTGCAGGATGCAGGTAGCACACAAAAGCATGCACCCTCCAGTCCACGAAAAAACCTCTCTCCATGGAACCAGTCCCTGGTGCCCAAAAGGTTGGGGACCTCTGCAATAGAAGGAGAAATTTGTTATGGAGATGAGAATTCTGTTTAATACAATGTACTGTTAATATTTTCTCTTATGGAATTGTGTCTCACAACATTAGATACCAAGTACTAGAAAGAGTACAGAGAAGAGCAACAAAGATGATTAGGGGACTGGAGGCTAAAACATATAAGGAACGGTTGCTGGAATTGAGTATGTCTAGTTTAACGAAGAGAAGGACTAGGGGGGGACATGATAGCAGTGTTCCAATATCTCAGGGGCTGCCACAAAGAAGAGGCAGTCAAGCTATTTTACAAAGCGCCTGAAGGCAGGACAAGAAGCAACGGGTGGAAACTAATCAAGGAAAGAAGCAACCTAGAACTAAGGAGAAACTTCCTGACAGTTAGAACAATTAACCAGTGGAACAACCTGCCTCCAGAAGCGGTGAATGCTCCAACACTGGAAGTTTTTAAGAAGAGACTGGACAGCCATTTGTCCGAAATGGTGTAGGGTTTCCTGCCTGAGCAGGGGGTTGGACTCGATGACCTCCAAGATCCCTTCCAACATCATCATCATCATCATTATTATTATTATTATGGATCATCGCACAGTCAGCCAGATGTTCAGACTGGATTTGGCATTCTGTCTACCTGTCGAGTCCTTACCAAGGACCTGGGATAGGCAAATGTGGATGTTTGATGTTATTACAGATATTGTCGCAGGATGGAAGTAGTTCCTAGTAAGGCCGCCTTTTGCAATTGACTACTGGCGAATTTGTCAATGCCAATGGTGTTCAGATGGTGCTCCAGTTGTTTTGGGATTGCACCCAAGGCGCCTATTACTATTGCTTGCTTTTGCCACAGTCTTTCTATTTGTAGGTCTTTGTATTTTGTATTATTATTATTATTATTATTATTATTATTATTATTATTATTATTATTATTATTATTATGTTTTGAAAGGGGCCTAGACAAATTAAGGAAGATTGTCTCCCATATGTTATGATGCTTCTATGGAACCTCCATTGAAGATGTGTTGAATACTATCTCTTTGGAGAACATTATGGCCCCTCTGGGAAGCAGGATATTTGGAAATTTGATGTTTCAGATGAATATTATGCTTATATAATTTGTAATAACACTAAAAATTTATGTGAAACATGTCTCAGCTAAATCTTGGGAACAATCTTAGCATTTGATTGATTGTTTACCTGCAAAATTTATAGGCTGTTTTAATGAAATGACCCTAAGTGATGTTCAAACCTCCCTCCCCAATACATAATTTGGGTTAAAAACAAATTTTGTTTGTCAAATGTGTTTTGTCACAAAACAACTTTGGGTGGCAACTGAATAGCAACATATAAAAACAAATGTAAAAAGTATAAAATCCAGATTAAAAATATTTTAAAAACAAATATACAACCACTTAGCAAAGGAAGGATAAGAATTGGTACCTAGTAATGGAACCATCTGAACATATCACTTGTTCCTGAGAACCCCAGGCCTGATTATATAACAAGATCTTGAAACTTCTTAAATGTCAAAAGGAAGGGAATTAATCTGATTTTTGGAGAAAGAATGTTTCATAAGATGGGTACCATGATACAGATGTCTCTTGCAACTCACTAAATGCAGATCCCTTTATACATGCCAGTCAGCCCTCTCATCCATGATCAAGCCCCTCCCCTCCTACCAGGGGAGCAGGCAAAGTCAAATCATGGATGAGGGAGCTTTATTACAGACTATAGGTAGTCCTTGAGTTACAAATGTAGTGGAGCCTGCCATGTAATTATCCTGCAAAAGAGGATGGGTGCCTGAACTCGTGTGATATTATGGCATCCAGGAACTTCTATTGACTCTTCTCTCTTTCAAAGGCAGAAATCATGGCAGAGAGGAGACAAATCTTCTCAAGATGAGTCTGGCGTGGCAGGAAGGGAGGTAGAAGCAGTTGTGGGGAGCGGGGGGGGGTGTAGGGTGAATGTTGCAGAGCCTCTGCAGTCATTTGTAAGGGCAAACAACTGCCGTGGTGCTGCAACATTCGTAATTTTGGGATTTTCTCAAAAACACTAGGAGCGCTTATCACATAATTTTGAACAAGCATTAAGTGAATGCTTGTAACTCGACGATTACCTGTGGTCTGGTATTATAGTAACAGCAGCCTGAGACAGGGCCACTGAAGGTCCACTGACGGGGCATTGGGATTCATATCAAGGAACTGGAATGTTGAACTGTTACAAGGCAACGGTTCTATGAAGCCTAGGGTGGCCCACTTACTGTTTTCTGCCACATATTCTCCTGTCCATTACTACAATAATATTATGGCCTGTCTTTATCCACCCATAACAGCCTCATCCCCCAAATCAAGCTCCATCCAAGACCCAGGACCAGAAACCCTAGTCTCCTCATCACACATCTCTATGGGGATAAGCTGGCCACTCTGAAGGTCTTTAGCTCCAATATTTCTGATCACCAACATAGTACTCAATCCTCACACTCGATTCCATACACTACTACTTACCAATCCTCACACATACACATATGAAAGCACATTAAGACACCTAATTAGATACAGGCTCTCGCCTCCACTACTAGCAACAGGAGAGCTCCTCTCATTAATCTCTCTCCAGTTCACCAATTTCCTCCTTGCCAGATCTCACCCAGAGGAGAAAAACATTCACCGAGGCACTCAATACAGGTGGAGCCAGATTGTTCCTTCCCTCTTCTCCCTCCCTCCCTCCCTCTCCTTCCTTCCTTCCTTCCCATACCCTATTCTTATTGCTACCAAGGGAGCAGGCAAGGTGAAATAGATATGGATATTAAAATAAAAACCAAATATTGTAAAGAACCACACTGAAGTCATGAATCAATATTTATGTCACAAAAATTGCTTCATTGTTTGGAGAAGTGGTCACGACAGTCCTGTATTATTTAAAAGACTTCTGTCCTATTCAGTTAATTGCTAAAATTAAAGAGGAATTAAAGTTGTGCCATTGATTGGTGGCTCTGCCTATAAAGAAATTTTGGTTTCTCTCAGATTATGTTATGGGTTTGTGTATACATATTTTATAATATAGAAAAATAAAAAAGTAAAAGGAAAGAAAACAACTAGAAAAATACAAACTAACATAATCATAGATATTAAGCATCTATTTTACATACTATGTAATAAACCTTGATCATATGAAATGATATTGGTGAGTCTTTAATTATGTGAATAAAGAATTTGTTTTTATAAGTAGAGAATAAATATTTAAGACTAAGATTTTAAATCCCAGGTATCATTTATAATTATTGCTACATCCCACACTCAGTAAATACAAAGTTCAAATACTGATAAACACATTTTTGTTTAATTCTATTATTTATATACACTCAATTCCCAAAGTCTCTGAGTTATAAAATTCAGCATCATATTGACTTCTTTACCTTCCATTCATTTCTCCAGAACTGTATTAACAAATGTATGAATAATAAACATCCTCTGAATTGCCTATAAACATTAAAAATAAATTACCAAATAAATGGCATATAGGAAGAAAGGCATTTTAATCTATATTAGTAGAAAACCAAAAGTTATTTTCTAACACATTTATAAAAAAGCACAAAAAGCTTATGCTTTTTAATACATTTATTAGTCCCAAAAATACCAGACTTTGATTTTTTTGTTGAATTAATATATTTAGATAAGAAAAAGATTTTTTTTATCAATCACTCAGATTCTAGTCATCTCTCATCTGGATTACTGCAGTGCATTCTACATGGGGCTAGCACTGAAGGCTATTTGGAAGCTACAGAATGCAGCTGCACAGACAGTTCTGAGGGGCCCTAGAATGGCCCATTTTTGTTACATGGGTTGCACCTGCTGTGAGTTAGCTTCCTGGTCCAATTTAATTAATTACCTATAAAGCCCTTTATGGCATGGGTCCAGATTACCTCAGGAATCGTCTCACCCCAATGGGGTTGGCCTGTCTCACTTGTGCTGGCAGAAGGAACATTCTGCAAATCCCATCGACCAAGGAATTCCAGCTGGCAGGGTCCAGGAGAAAAACCTTTTCTGCTATGGCTCCCAGTCTCTGGAACATCGTACCCCTTACAATGAGATCTGTCTTCATCCCCTTGGCTTTCTGAAAGGATGTTAAAACTTGGCTCTAAGGCCAAGATGGGGACATGGGCCATTCTGGAGATGGTTACTGGATTAAATAAAAGCTCATTACCACTCCTTTTTATATCCCACCCATTTTAGCAATTTCTGTGTTAATGCTCTATTTTTCTTTTACTGTTTTTAATTTTTTAAAAATATTGTTTTACCAAGTTGTAAGCTATCTAGAGTCACATGATGATGAGAGGGACAGCATATATGTATTTAATAAACAATTTCATTGTTAATATCACCTATCCAAACAATTTAAATTACTGCAACTTTTGTCCTGATATTCTTTAATTACTTATATAAAATCTATAAACTTGGAAACATCTCAAACTCATTCAGGAGCTCTAGAAGTTTCTACAGCATCTGGACCAAATTGAAGGCTCTACATATGTTGCTATATATTGGCATTCAGTTTTAGGCAGTCTAATTTTCTCCTGCATTGCCTCAAGTTGAAAGAAAGGAAATTAGCACTATTGGGACATCTTCTGGACACATTCTGTATAACATTTTACTTCACAATAGAAATGAAACCAAAGCTGAGAGAAAGAGAATGCAACTG